GGTTTTTTTTTTTTTTTTTTTTTTTTTTTTTCAGGGTTTTATGGGTTTTGATTTACGGGAGCGGGTTGAGAGACGTACATTTACATCATTTCCCGCCGATTTGGATCCCATATGGTTGTCGGTAAATGGAGATCCTCGGGCGGACCAAGCGTCGGCGACGGCTTCGTAGTTCAGTTTCAGAAGCAATCCAGGAGGTTTAGATTTCGGAATCGTCGGTTTCTCTGATGATTTCTCCTTTGGCGGTGCGGTTTTTTTCGATTCGATCACTGTAAGTTTCTCCACTTTCTTCTTCTTCTTCTTTTTTGTTGAGGCGACGGTCGGTGTCGGTGCTGGTGGCTTTGGATTTAGTTTAGGAGAGATGTCGACTACGTCGACTGTTGGAAATCGCCACCAGTTTCCGTCGTCGACTCGTCGGATTGCTGCTCGTTCGATTGCCTTCCGCATTCCGAATCCGAATTCGAATTTCTGGTTGAACCCTAAGCCGATTGGATTCCAGTAACAATTCCAATTCTTAGGGTTATCGCTAGAACAATCTTGCGCTGAATTAGGTGTTTCTAGGTTATCCACACTCAGATTCCCCATGATACTATCGATTCCTTCTTCGACTTCCTCATCGAGAATCGATTCGGCATCGAAATCTTCCATCTCCATCGAATTCGGTTGGAAATCGATCTCCCCTGGGCTGGAACATGGCCGACTCTCCCACAGATTCGCCAATTTCGATTGGATTTGGGAATTAGGTTTTTCATGTAGAAGCGGTTGGTTTAGGAGAAATCCAGAGCTTTCGATTACTCGGAAAGGCAACAACAATTCGGCGGATTCACAGAACAGAGAGTCGGGTGATTTGGTGAATTTGCGTGGATTCGTGAGATGTTTGGTAGAGAAAACATTCGGATATGCTGTAGATAGCAAAACTGTGGCCTCATTGTAGGTTTGATTTGGGCGTTTTCTGGGAGTTCTGGATTTCCGAGTTGAAATTGCTTCAGAGAGAGTTGAAGAAGGGGATGATGTTTGAGAAGTTCTTGTCCATGAAGATGATGGAGATTTCACAATTTCAAGGTCGAAATTGTAAGCTCTTCCACCACCACTTATGAATGGAGAAGACATTGGAGAGTTAGAACAAAGCAACAAAATACACACCCTGTAAATTCTGTTTGGTTACCAAGAAAGTTTTTCTCGAGATTTCAAAGAAAAATCCCAAATCCTGAAACACCAAAACACCTCAATTCCATCACAAACCTGGAAAATTGGAGGAAATGAGTGTCGGTTTTCTTCTAAACCCTTAAACCCTACCTAAGAAAAATCCAAACAAGAACAACAACAACAAAAACAAGATCCTTAGCTCAAAAAGGGGAAAAAGAAAGGAAAAATCCAAGAGAAACCAAAATTCCAAAACCCCAAAACTTCAAAAAACAAAATCCCCCTTCTCTCTCTCTTCTTATTTCCCAGTTATCTCTCTCTAGCACCAAGAAAACCAAAGGAATTTCGAACTTCCATGGAAATGGGTAATCTCTCACCAAACAAGAACACTACTAATTCACTAACCCAATAAAGAAAACAAACACTCTGATTTCTAATATTCACAGTCTGAATTTCCTCAAAAAAAAAAAGAGAGAAGAAGAACAAGAACAAGAAGAAGAGAGAAGAAACTCACGAGGTTGAGAAGATAAAAGGGAAAGATCCTTTGGGTGTGATGTAAATATAGCAATTCTGCAGAGAGAAAAAAAGGATTTCTCTCTCTCTCTCTCTCTCTGGAAATTACTAAATAGGAAGAAAACACAAGACGAGACAAGGATGAGTTTCTGCAGACCTGTAGGGACTACTGGATTTTATTTTTCTTCTTCATTTTATCCTTCCAATTATTATGCTTTTATATATTTGTTTATATGACGAAATTCCTTTCATTCTTGCCTATTTGCCTGATTTACCCCTCCCTATTCAAACATTAACTAAACAAAAACAGTAACAGAACTGGGAGGGCATTTGTTCGGATTGCTCGAGTCGAAGAATCTTGACTTTTTAGTTTCATTTTGTTTGATAACAGTGTTTATATGACTCGAAAACTCGATAAACTCGTTTCAATTTGGGTTGGGATGGGTTGAAATTTCGAAAAATTGAAAATTTATGTCGG